TCTTCGCATCTTCTCCACCCGCTGGCAGTGCAGCACCATCCACTGCTCCAGCCTGGCCATAACCACTGTGCACATGAGATGCTGCTGTGGAGTGGAGGAAAGCACAAGCCATCAGCCTGGCAACAGTCCATAATAGCATGTGACTGACTCATCTTCACCAGGTGATGGGAAGTTGCATCCCCGCACACTGGCACCATGGCAGGGCACCAGCCCTTCTCCTTCCGGGGTTGGAGCGCACTGGTGTTCAGCTGGGCTCAACTCTTCCTGTTTCCAGCCAGAGGATGCCCCCGGGGCTGTGCATCAAAGTCCTGCTGCAAACAACGTCAGCAAAAGTGCATAAACAAACCCTCAAGAGAGGTCGTGGCAGTTCTCACAACAAGAAGCTACCAGCAGTTAACAAAGGATAAAAGCAAAAAACCGGAGCTCTGGCCCCCAGTTCCTTCCATTTGCACCACCCCTGAGCAGGAGGGTGTCCATCACTGGGGAAATCAAAGCCTTCCTCTCCATTGTTTCCCCAGCAGCAAGAACAGCCCGTGGCCATTTGCCACCATGGAGCTGGATAAAAGCAGCCTGAGGCTGTTGTACAACAGGCCCAGAGCTGCTGCTGCCTTTGCACCTGGCTCTGGGGACTGCAGTGAAGCCCCTCTCCCAGAGCAGGATGCAGGGCTGGGCTTACCTGCCAAATACAAGCGTCCTGTCCCAGCCCTTTTGGAGCACAGCTAGGGGCTGTCAGAGCTGACTCACAACGTCCACAGCACAGAGCTTCGAAGGGATGGCCACAGTCCAGCATGGTTTTGCTACTGAAAAATCCACATCAGTGTGGACCTCTTGTAATTTGGACACCTTAACTTGTCCTTTCAACACAAGAAAGTCCTGCAATAGTGATGGATCTCATGGAAACAGGGGCTCCAGGAGCACCACATTCACATTTCACATGCCTCCCTGGATATGTGGTGTTGAGCAGCTGGAATTACTTACAATCTTCTTCCTGGTTTACACACATGATCACTACTGCTCCTATTCTTATACTTCTTCCTCAACATCTCCTGGAGGTCACTACCAGGACAAGGCCAGAAGAACCTTTGATCCAACCAGGCAGCTTTGTGTTAATAGTGTCAATTAATGACTCAGACTGAAGAAAACTATTTTGACTTAACAACCTTGCCTTGTCTATGGAGAGTGTGTCCACACCGAAGTGACTGGTAAAACATCAAGTGCCAACAGCCCCGGAGTTCCACTTGTGTCCCTACCTACATTTGCAAGGATCTAAGCCTCTTCTGCTTCATCCACTCTCCCAGGAGCTTGTTCCAACATGGTCTCCATCAATGGCAATACAACAGAGCTGAAGCAGAACCAATGAACCATGGAATGCTTTGGGTTGGATGGGACCTCCAACCCCTGCCACAGGCAGGGACCCCTTCCACTGGAGCAGCTTGCTCCAAGCCCCTGTGTCCAACCTGGCCTTGAACACTGCCAGGGATGGGGCAGCCACAGCTTCTCTGGGCACCATGCCAGGTTGCTATTGGTATATATTTCATTTATGTTATATATATATATATATTGCAAAATGTTATATATATATTCCAAAATCGCTATTAAATGAGGACCTAAACACTTTGTTCACCATTACCAGCTAAAGCAAGGTTTGCCATATGGGGACTCTTTCAGGGAGATTTGTACCCTAAATGGGGCTTTTCATGATAAATCCACTTAGTATTCCTTCAAAATTCCAGGAAGGCGAAATCCCCCACTCCATCTCATTAAGGATGAAGGAATGCCAGGTATGTGGCAGGAATGTGGGGTGAGAGGAGGAGTGGGGTGTATTTCAACTAAGCTGTAGTATGGTAAAAAAAATAAAATGGACAATGTAAGGATCAGGATTTGAAATGTATTTCTTCTTGTATTGCTTCCTGAGAAGCTACACCAGCCATGGCAATGCACATGCTTAACCCAAGGGAGACAAAACTCAGTTTAAAGATGCAAAAACCCCCAACCCTACCTCATCCAGAAATCAGAGGTGCTTTCCTCAGTGCTAGACAAGCTATGCAAGGTCTTACGCCAAGAAGCTAATAGCTCAAGTGCAGTGATGGCAGATGGCATCTAGCTTGTGACAGCTCTCCTGTGCCCATGGTGGGTTCTCACAGACACTTCACTGTGGATATACCAAGAAAGCAGTTTGGGACCTTCTTAAGGCTCATTTGTCAAGCCAGACCCAGTGAGAGCTTTGCACTGAGCTTCCACAGGGGCAAGCTTCCTCCTGGTATAACAGCCTATGGCTACTGTGAGTGCAGGACACTGGATGCCCTCACAGAATCTCACTGGCAACATAAAAGATGCTGTCCGCACCAGCACAGCATATTTATTTCCAGACAGATGAAGAGAGAAGATGCTTCATACTTCATCTCAGCCCTGAAATAAACAAAAAGCTAAAAAGCTAGCCCTGCCTAAACCCAGGAATTTTAACAGACTAAAAGCTTCTGAGTCAGACCATAAATCCAGCTTGCTTCATATTCTGACAGTGGTCAACAGCAACTGCTCCAGAAGAAAAGCACACCTGCATGGAGTGATTCTGACCCTCCTATACACTTCTTCCATCTTCAGACACCTTCCATTTGGCCCATTGTGCATTTAGCATAGATGGGTCTATTCTCCTTCGTTTTACTTGACCTCCCCTCCTAACCCACAAACCCCTTTCCAGCCTTTCCACCATCCTTAATGTCCTCTACAGTAACTACACATTCTGTTAGCAGCATTCTTGGATTAGCTCTGCTGTTCCAGACGCTGAGGCACAGAACTGAGGTCAGAGGAAACAGCCATGATCTGTCATGAGTGAACAGACACAAAAATGGATGATGGTCTCCTGACTCTGGGTGCAATCCTCTCATCAGTCTCTGCTGCATTAAGAAATGGAAACTGAGCCCATTGCTCAAAAAGCGGAAGGAAAGATCCTGAAGGAGGGAGCAAAAGGAGCCTGAAGAACCAGCAAACCATGTCAGGGGTTAAAACCAAGCAGCTTTGTTGAGGCTGATCCTTGGGGAGCAGCTCGCTGTCTGCATGAAGCAGTGGGAGTGAGCAATGGGAATCAGCACAGCTGCTTCATGCCTGATGTATGGAACCAGAGTAGAAGTCCTACCATATGACTTCAGGGATAATGTTAAATCTGCTACAGCATTCTCCCCTCCCCTGCTCATCCCACACAAGCTTCAAAACTTCTGGTTTATGACTGCTAGAGGATCATTGCAGGCTGTCTCTGAAGGGATAATCTTAAATTTCAAGTGACAGTTCATGGGCATCTTCTCTTTCTTCTGGAATGCTGCCTTACACAGCACATTAAGTATTTTGGAGATTAGTAACTGGAGCAAAGCATTCTAATCTTGGTGTCCTAGTGGAGATTTAGAAAAGAACGGTTCATGTTTGAAGTTGCTGTAGCACAGGAAGCAGAAGAAGCCTTGAAGACCAAAAGCAAGGCTCAAATGGAAATCTGGGACACTAAACACGTGATCCATGTTTAGTCTCCAGGGCTTCTCTCTGACGTGGTGTTTCCACTCGGAGCAGGTCTTAGGGACACTGAAAGGTGGAACCCAATTTGAGCTCTTTCAGAATAAATAGACCAAGCTCACCATGGCTGTTAAAACTGAAAACTTGTACTTTTGTATTCTTTGACCTGAATTAGGTGATAAGTGAATTGTATAATAAGGTTACAGGTTGCTTTGAACTTAATATACTGAGGCTTAGATGGGAACCACTTGACCATCTCTGAACTGGCCTCTGTACTTTGCAGTACAGAGTACATGTACTTTGTCATGCAGTACATGTACTTTGCATGACACCAGCCACGATAAACACAGCACAGGCTCTGGAGCTGCCTGCACAGCAGCTCACTCAACAGCAGTCCTACCATCACCTGGCAAAGGCCCTCACAGCATCAGTTTAAGCTTCCTGTCCACAGAATGATCTTTGTGACAACTCCTCCTACTGCTCCTCACACAACCAGAAGTCCCATTAAAAAGAGGCCAAGTATGTGCCTTAATTGGCCTGCTTCCCTCTCACTCCTTCCTTTTTCTCCTTCTTTTTTTCTCCTTCCAGCACCAATGCTCAGGTAGCTAATCCTATGGGGCAACTGAACTTAAATGGCTAAAATTAATCCTGCAACGTTCACGCTTCTCATGGTGCTAATCCAAGGAACTGAATGATCACCAGCTCCTTCAGAACAGCCTGTGACTGATGACACTGTCCAAGTTCATTAGTTACTCCAGCTATTGTGGGGAATAAAGTAACATATTAACAGCTAATATTTAATTATGCTTCCTTGAAGCTGTTTAAGCAGCTGATCTGGCATCTCTGTTCAGAACTATACAGCTCTGCTTTGAGTTAATGCAAGTGAAGTGGTTGGCTCAAGTTTGGCTAAACATTTAGAAGTAATATAACCATTTGCAACAGATGCCCTTTTAGGCCTTCATTTTGGAAGTTTTATGCACAAGACCCTCTGATCTATTCAGCAACCAACACCAAGAATCTAGGTTTCTGTATCCCGAGTAGCCACTTGTGGCAATAGTTAAAGATGTGTCAGAAAGGGGTCAAACAACAATGGGATATCACATACTCCAGGCCACTGATATCAGCAAAGGTATGCTGGTGTTTCAGCACAGCATGTTTTTCCACATTCTTTACTACCCACAGAATTGCCGTAACAGTCCTGAAGGTTAGTATGCCTCCACGTAGGATGATTAGTTCAAACTTAAGGTTACCTGATGGTAGCAAGCTGCCTTCTCCTCCTCTGCCCCTGCCCAGCAGCCTATTAGGACCAGGGCAGACATCCACCAAGACCTCTATACCTCCTGAGAGACAACCTATGTTGATGCTCTGCAGCCCCTGGGGACAGTAAGCCACCACCTCTTCACCTTTTTTATACAGTTACGGTCTGGGTATTTTCCCCAAGGTCTAACCTTTTCCAGCCTAACAGTTCACAGCTTTTGCCAAAGTGATAGAGTCTGCTCAGATTTCAGCTCACCATTTGGCACTGATTATTCTTCTGGGAAAGCAAGCAAGTTGTTCAGTGCAATAAATGAATCCTCAGTCAAATTTCAGCTCCAGTATGTTGTGCAGCAGGACTGGCACCTGGCTGCAAATCTGCAAGGTACAACCTATCAAATACATCCATATTACTGGGGTCTGTAAAGAAGTCAAATCACTGAAACACGTAAGTTAGCGGTAAAGCAGAAAGCTTACTTAATTGCTAATGCAAGTTTTGATCTAAAAGTCCCATCAGTCAAGAACTGCCTTGCTGAGCCACCACTTCTGTAAAGCCACTTAATGACTAACTGCACTTGGCCTACACCTCATGGAACATCCTGTCATTACAGCTGGACAGTGCTTCATGTGACCAGCTCTACAGCTTCAACCAAGGCATCAATATTACTGACTTAATTTAAGTCAGAAGTACCTGAAATCACTGCTGATGCAGTGGTGGTTTAGCAGAAAGCGTGTAGCAGGCAGGAAATCAAAGCAGACAGGAGTGCAGGAGGCCTCGGAAGGAAGGCAGAGCTCAGCCCCACCAGCCTCCAGCAGCACTACATGTCCTGACAAACACCTGCTGGGCCAGGCGCAGAGGGTGCCTGCTGGGCTGACCGCTTGAGATGAGCACAGCTTCTGGATCATCCATGAAAGCAGTATAAAACCAGAACATTTTAATTGAATAAAAAAAAGCTGTCAAACAGACTCTCAAAAAAACCCAACCTGGGTCTTGCTGAGAAAGTTTCTCAGGTGATGTTTCTCTCTGGAATGCACTTCTGGGGTGTGTCTCCTTGCTGGTGTGTACTCCTATGCTCTGTGCTGAGCATTGCAAGTGCCAGGACCATGCAGCTGACACCTCAGTGTGGCTCGTCCTCCTTGTTGAAGGGACTGGATGAGATGCTTGGGGCTCTCTGAGCAGCTGAGGCCTGTGCTTCATGCCTAGCTGATGCTGCACACCAGTTAACTTCCTTTCCCAGTGCTGCTATCTCTATCCAAGGGTCCGTGACCAAGGCATGGTGCTAGGCCTGCTCACAGGCATTGCCTGTGCTGGATGTCAGCACTCTGCTAGGTGCTAATGCCTCTGTTGTCCGTGGGGCCTGCTTTGGAAGGCGAATAGGTACATAGACATTTGAAGCACAGTGTTCCTTGAGGTATTCTCCCCCTTTTTCTTCATAGTCTTTTCTGGTTATCCAGCCTTCATCGTGAGTCATATATTCCACTGCCCAATCTCTAGCTCCATACCAGGCATCTAAAACAGGATTGGAAGCAAGGTGAACCTGGATGGAAGGAAAACAGAACAACGTCAATTTAACACAGGAGAGAAAAGCCCTTTCTCTCCTACACCTGAGTACAGTGGTATATAACACAGACCACTGAATTTCAGAAGTCTGAGCTGATTATTCAGTGCCTCTGGGTAACAGTAATATTAGGAATGTGTTTGAAGTGTATTGTGACCTTGAGATCAATTTTATATGAGGCTGCTTTGCTCCTACAGGTAGAGAAAGCAAATGTGTATCACATTCCTAACCCACAGTTCTCTGGCAGCATTCAAGGCCCAGCTGGACAGAGCCTTGGGCAACATGCTCTAGGGTGAGGCATCCCTGCCCATGGCAGGAAGGTTGGCTCTGGATCATCTTAAGGTTCTTTCCAACCCAAACCAGTCTGTGAATATATGATTCTAAGGTAAAGGTTAAGGAAAGCTATAGGTGCTCTTTCTGAAGACATCTGAGAGAGCAGGGTAGATGTCTTGGAAAAGGAAAACCTGCTTCAGTTAAAGGACCATGCACACACAGGTATGTTAGGCTACAAATGTGCAGATTGGGACAGTTCGTATCTGGAGTAAGTGACCTCTGTTAGAAGCAGGATCACCTCCTTCAACCTGCTGGTCATGCTCCTTTTGAGTCAGCCCAGCAGATGGGCAGCTTCTGGGCTCAAGCGCATGCTGAAGTGGCTCATGTTCAGTTTCTCCTCACCCAACACCCCCAAGACCTTCTCCGCCAAACCTGTGGCTGTGTCTGGGACTGCCTCAACCCAGGCATAAGACCTTGCACTTGGCTTGGTTAAACTTATGAGGTTGGCATTGGCCACCTCTCTAGTGTGTCCAGGTCCCTCTGCATCTTATCCCTTCCCTCCAGTGTATCAGCCAAACCACACAGCTTGGTGTCATCGACAGACTTTGCTGAGTGCTCAGTCCTGCTGTCCAGGTCACCAACAAAGACGTTTAACAAGACTGGTCCCAACACCAACCCCTGAGGGACACCACTCATCCCTGGTCTCCAACTGGACATTGAGCCGCTGGCCACAACTCTCTGCCTCAGATGGAGTTTACCTCCTGCTTTGGGCTGCATTCCCAAACAACGTGACTCCGAGAAGCCATAGGTTCAGCATACCAGAGGGCTGGCCTCCCACCATCTGCCTGCTCAGGTCAAAAAAGCTATTTGCAGTGCCTCATCATAAAACACTCTCCATTCCCATGCTCCAAGTCCACCTGCTCTGTACCTTTCCCAACCCAAGTTACTTTTGAACACAGATGACCCATTAATGCAAACACTGCGTCAATACACGTACCTGAAAAGATGACTGGAATGGTCTCATCTCAAGGAGCTCCTTCTGGACCCTAGCTTTCAGTCCAGGGTACATTGTATTTCCACCAGTGAGAAAAACATTCTGGACAAGAACAGCTTGTTGCTCCCTTGGATACCTACCAGGAACAAAAACGAATGTCAGTCTCAGTCCTCCTCAAGGACATCTCTCCTAGGAACTGAACAGCTATCAGGAATACCAGTACCTTGTCTTCAGGATTCATTTTCAGAAACTTCCTTCACTTTCCTAGCATGGAAACCTGTGTTAATCTGTTTTGTGAAAATCCTGGGGTGGCAGGAGAAAATCCTTAAAGCACTCTGTGCACTGTGCACCATAAATCAACAGCTCAGTAGAGCTGCAATTCTCACAGTTCAGAAAATGCAATCTCTATGTTCACACAGTTCAGCAGGGACATTTTGCCAGTGATAAGTTGTCTGGAAACAGCTGTCCAGCAAGCATGCTTATATCATAACTTAAAAACGTGTGTCGTTCCCCCCCCCAACCCGATTTTGGTCTCAGAAATGCAGAGGCTGCCAGCTCATTGTTTCGTGGGACGGATAATTATCAGGATTTGCTGTCTCCCTCTGTAACAAATTTGGACCAGGGGTCTCCAAAGTAGACAGTTCACTGGGGTGGAGGAAGATGACTTTTTGTACCATTAATAAATAAACAAAAACAGTGTTTATTTCACTTTTATCTCGTCCTTCTTTAATTTCTGGTTTTGTGTACATTTTTAAATGTACATAATAGTTCAGCAGTACCTGTAATTTATAAACACACATATATTGGAGATGCACACAGAAAGTTTTTACTGATGGGTAATCAATCAAAAACGTTTGGAGCCCACTGACTTAAGACAAGGAATAGGAAGACACGTCTAACCTGCACTGCTCAAACCCACCAGAACTATTCAAACATATTGTCTCAAATTATTGCTAAGCAACCAGAATTGCAAAAGCTGGTATCAAAACAAGACTAGCTTGACTGAAGTGAGTGCCAAGCAGCTTCATGAACTCACCTCTCAAGGACATACTGCATGGTTTCTGCTATACCAGCCTGGTCTTCTCCTATCAGGGAAGGCTGGAAAACAATCTCTGGAGCCCTGATTCTTTCAGTGCCAAGGAAAAGCTGGTGGTACTCTGCCAGGTTAAACACGGGCTTTGAAAAGATGAGATTGAAAAGTAGTAGGGACTTACTCTGAAGAACAGTAATATTCTAGACTGAGCAATGTTTTCAAACAATGTGTGCAAAAAACAGATTATTATGCTCTCGCAGAGGAAGTGCCATGCTGTAAAAGGTTCCAAAAAGCCAAGGAAGCTGGACTTTTCCTATGCTTCTTTCTGTTTGGTGCCACTCAATCCCCAAGGCTCAATATCACAAGTTAAAAGCTGTGTTCACAGCGATGCAACATTAGGCTATGGATCACACACAAAAACACTGTGGACTTTTTTTCCCTGATAACATGGCACTGCTAAACAGGTGCTGCCTGCAGTGTGAGCCAAATGGGTATAACTGTGTTCTAAACCATCAGCTAAGACTGCAAGGTCTTCTCTCTCAATGTCCTGTTCAGATACGCTTAAGCATCTCTTCCAAGAGAGGCAAACCATGTTCACATTGGAGAAATGTTAGCAGACTAGCTGTGCAATCAGGAGGCAGCAACCTCTGGCATGAGGTGTAGATACAGAAATCAAACCTGCACTGCAGCAACAGGCTTCTCAACTTCAGGCTGTTCCTCAGCAAATAAAGGTTCAAACTCATTAACACTTTCCACATCCTCCAGTGACTGCTCACTGCCTAATGGATCCAAATCAGGAGTCTGGAAACAGAAGAAAATATATTACAGGAGGTTGGCTCAGGTGTGCTGAGCACAGGCAACTTCAATGCCAGTAACACACTTGGAAAATTCAGTGCTGCTTTTCTCAAATCTCAATTTTTTAACATGCCTGAAACCAAGCATGCTGTTCTCTAGCACTGAAGACAAACATCAAAATGGTGAACACCCTAGAAAGCAGATGTTAAGACAGACATTCACTCAAAGCATAAAAGGATAACACCTTCAACAAATTTATCATGATGCCAGCTGGGAAATGAAAGGCCTCAGTCAACAGGCTGACTGCCAGGCTCCCAGCCAGCCATGGCCTACACATAATAACATACTGAAAGTTATTAAAATAGCTTTTAAAATTAGTTAAAACTCAGTGCACTCACAGCACCTCTAACTGTTCTATAATTACCATTAAATTCCTTGCCTAGCTTGTATAGGACTGGAAAACAAATATTTGCCAGCTCAAAGCTGCCACACAATGTTTGACAGTTTCAACTGCCTGGCATTTGAATATACCAAAAGCCCTTATATTTTACACAGAGGTGAAGGTGCTTCAAAAGCTCTTTCCCAAAGCATCACTCAAAATCCTAGAGTACTTTATGGTTGTGAAGCAAAAGCAGGGGTTTAATTACCTCCTTTATTTTTGCAGTACAGTGTTACCTTAGGTATTTTGTTGCTAAAGATTTGGTTTTGTTATTTTAAACTTGTAAGGTTTGCTGCAATGTCTAGCAACAATACCAGGATGAGACAAAGTTCGATCATCCAAGCATTCTTAAGTATCTAGCTTACAACCACTTAAAAGGAGAGAAGCCAGAGAGTTGTAGTCTATGGGGCAGAGTCTAGGTGGAGGCCTGTATCTAGTGGAGTGCCTCAAGGGTCGGTACTGGGACCACTATTATTTAATATATTCATCAACGATTTAGATGAGGGAATTGAGTGTACTATCAGCAAGTTTGCTGATGACACTAAGCTGGGAGGGGTGGCCGACACGCCAGAAGGCTGTGCTGCCATCCAGAGAGACCTGGACAGGCTGGAGAGCTGGGCGGGGAATAACCTGATGAAATATAACAAGGGAAAGTGTAGGGTCCTGCATCTGGGCAGGAACAACCCCAGGTTCCAGTATAGGCTGGGGAACGACCTGTTAGAGAGCAGTGTAGGGGTGAGGGACCTGGGGGTCCTGGTGGACGACAGGGTGACCATGAGCCGACACTGTGCCCTTGTGGCCAAGAAGGCCAATGGCATCCTGGGTTGTATTAGAAGGGGGGTGGTTAGTAGGTCGAGAGAGGTCCTCCTTCCCCTCTACTCTGCCCTGGTGAGACCTCATCTGGAATATTGTGTCCAGTTCTGGGCCCCTCAGTTTAAAAAGGACAGGGACCTGCTGGACAGAGTCCAGCGCAGGGCAACTAAGATGATTAAGGGAGTGGAGCATCTCCCTTATGAGGAAAGACTGAGGGAGCTGGGTCTCTATAGTTTGGAGAAGAGGAGATTGAGGGGTGACCTTATTAGTGTATATAAATATATAAAGGGGGAGTGTCACGAGGATGGAGCCAGGCTCTTCTCAGTGGCAAACAATGAAAGGACAAGGGGTAATGGGTACAAATTGGAGCACAAGAGGTTCCACTTAAACCTGAGAAGAAACTTCTTCTCAGTGAGGGTGACGGAACACTGGAACAGGCTGCCCAGGGAGGTTGTGGAATCTCCTTCTTTGGAGACATTCAAAACCCGCCTGGACACGTTCCTGTGTAACCTTATCTAGGTGTTCCTGCTCCGGCAGGGGGATTGGACTAGATGATCTTTTGAGGTCCCTTCCAATCTCTAACCTACTGTGATACTGTGATACTGTGAAAACCCAAGTAATTACTCAAACTGAAATGTAAGCAGTGTTCCTCCTTACAGCAAACAAATCTTAAGTCACCTGAACTTATTTCCAACATTTATGCTTTGTTAAATCCCTTTCTTTTTATGTCTTAAAAAAAAAAAGAACAACCAACCAAGCAAACAGCAACACAAAGAAGCATAAAACTCAGCTAAAGACTTGGCACAGACCCCAGGACAACATAATTAGCTTTCAGCCTCCTCTGCAGAGCCAGATGGATGGCCCATCTTCACAAAAGGATTCAGTGACAACCATAGGTGCTCTCACAAAGCACTGACCTAACAGGAAGGATTTCCACTTGCTTCCAAGGCCTGAAGCTACACCTAGTAAAGAAGAGGAGCATGGGATATGTTGGAACAGGGACATGCTGGAACTTAGGCACAAACACTGAGCAAAATTATAAGAAACTAATACTCTTTCAGTTATCTTTTTCTAGAACAATTTCTTTTGCCAGAGGGCAGAACGACTCTTCACCACAATGGTAAGCTCATAATCTACTTCAGTGTCGCTCAAACGCTGTCATTCTGATTCTTCCACAAGCTTTACTGATAAGGACAGGCAAAATACAACACCTAGAAGGTATCAGCTCACCAGCTAGGTCTGGCTACATCTCAAGCTCCATATAAGACATATGAACTCCTGGACTTGGCACAACTCTGCTGTTTTTCTGTCTGTTCCTAAGCAAAGACTGATTTAACTAAGAAAGTTCTGTCTTACGTGACTTAAAAGGCAATGATAAGTAAATCCACAAGCAGCCTTAGACAATCTCCTAGACACAGCTGCTATGTGTTGGGTATGTATTAGTCTGACAAAGCAGACAATTAAGCTCCTCATTTTCAACACAACCCCAAAAATCAAGTGCAGAAACCCATATTTCATTGTTAAGTAAACAAAATAGAATATACTGCTTAACTGCACCAAAGATAGCAAGAATAAAGGCAAAGGGCGGTTGTTTAACATGAAGTTCTCTGCACCTGTAAGGGAAGAACAGAAAGGAAAACTAATGCTTTTTTTAACAAAAAGCTTCACATGTTCTCCTATACCTTTAATAGATGGCTACTGACAATAAGGCTGGTTGTCTTCAGATCATAGCCACTTGCAGTTTAAGTACTTAAAATTTAATGTCATTTTAATTGTCAGACACTGGGGGTGGAGAAAAAAATCTTTAACATACCAGGCCCACTTATTTCACCAAAATTAATGCAAAAGCAGAGTTAGAGGTTGGTTTAAAGTATGAACAAAACCATTATGGTAGCTGCTGCATTTACAGCCTCCTAGGAAGTCAACCTTAAGTAACCAGAAATATTCTCGTCTCCTCCAAATCTTTAAAGATGTGCATGAAATTTTTAAGGCAACTTATTGATTTCATATAGCTATACTTCAACAACTGTCAGGAAGCCTAGAGGTTCTGCTTAGAACTCTATGGAATAAAACTCTAAAGGTATGTATCAGAGCACCGTGCAGACCAGCACATGGGTTACTGATCTTAGGCCTATGGAACTGTTATTTTCTGTAGCTGCATAGGAAAGATGGAAAAGAGAGAAGCAGTTGCCGAATTAACAATGAGTTGCAGTGTGTTAAAGGAAAAGCTCGGTTCATCAGTAAAAGTCTGAAAGGGCACATTTTCAAGTGTAGAAACTTAAATCTCTCAGACATAAAAGGAGGATTAACTTGGTGAAAACACTGTACCTCTGGCTTGCTGTCCACAACATCTACTTCAATACTGACTTCTGCCTGTAGAATTTTCTGCTTTGTTTGTTCAACAGACAGACTCAATTTGTTGATGTAAGACTGAAGTTCTTCTGCAGAGTCCATGTTCAGCTCCACCAAAGCTTTGTGGAATTGATCCATCTGACCATCTTCTAAAAGTTCCTACAGATAGAGTTAGCTGTGATGACAGGGCAATCAACTGTCTGTCAACTGTGCATATAGAGACACTTTGCCTTCATCACCAGATATTATGGTGTGCATGCTTTGGCAGCATTCAAAACAGCTCACAGAAAAATTGCTCAGAACCTGACAGCATCCTCTGCATCAGTAACATCTCCCATTTATCCTGCAAGTAAGCTTAAAAAGCTCCTATCAGAAAACACACAGAATAGTTGTAGCTTCTTTAGAAGGGGAGATAGAGATGAGCTGTTAGGCAGTTCTTCCCTGTGAGGGTGCTGAGGTGCTGGCACAGGGTGCCCAGAGAAGCTGTGGCTGCCCCATCCCTGGCAGTGTTCAAGGCCATGTTGGACACAGGGCCTTGGAGCAAGCTGCTCCAGTGGAAGGGGTCCCTGCCTGTGGCAGGGGTTGGGGCTGGATGAGCTTTAAGGTCCCTTCCAACCCAGACGGCTGTATGAGTCTATGATTTACAGCGCTGCATGACATTCTGATAAAGCTCTGAAGGCAGCCTGCCCTCCTCCCAGAAGGCAACACAGAAAACTCTGCCTTGATTACCTGTACATACAGTAACCTGTCCAGCCTCTCTTGGTCAAGTTGCAGCTTCTCCTCTCGACGACGTGCATTGAGTTCTTGAAGTCTACGCAACTGCTGCTGCCGCCTCTCCTGCTTTTCCTCCGATGTCAGAGTGCTTCCCAGCAGTTTGTTAGAGAAAGGCAGCTGCATCTTGTGCATATTGTTCTCATAGTACTCTGGGGACTGCCACTTCCGTAGCTCTAAATGTTTTGAAAGCAAAATAACTGTTTAGTCAGGCAGAAAACAACAATTTATATGTTGTATGCAAGCCACACTAAGCTCAGACTTGGAAGAAAGAAAGCAACAGTCCAGCCTAGGATTCTGTCACCTCTGGCCAGCTTCTCCAGTGTTTAGCTCCCACCTCAGAGCACTACCTCCCAGTCACATACTTGGTTCCCAGGGTTCTCAGTGCTCTGACCTCCTGTACACCACAGTGGGAAGTGCACACCAGAATCTTCTCTCTTCCCAGGTAAGGGTGAGTGCTCACACATGTCTAAGGATTTCTGCAGGCTCTTCCATAAGTGAAAAATTTAAGAAAACACTTTTCTTCAGCCACTACTTATGATTACATTTACCATGGAATTTTTTTAAAGCTCCTTTAATTTACAAAATGTCATGAGAACTGTCCTCTGCAATTTTGGAAACCTTAAAGCAGATAAGAAACACAGACAGATGCTGGAATCATCCTAGGAAATTTAATGTTCTGTTGGAAGCATAACTAACAAAAAAAACCTCATTTTAAATTATTTTTCTCTGAAATAATCACAATTTTTAATTCCAGAGAAATTCGAACTCATACAGCTTTTTTTTTTGTAATTCAATTTTGTTTCTATCTTAATGTTAAATTTGAAACTCCTGTTGAAACTGTAACCTACCATGAGGTAATTGCCAGAAAGCTATAAAGAAGCAAAACCATAGTAGGGTATTGCTGCCAGAATCCCAGCCAACTTGAGAACAAGAGATATAGAAGAGAAAACTAAGTTTGGGTGAGCATTATCTAGTGGCAACTTACAGCTTGTTTTACCTTCTATATAGTCCTCTGCAACATAGCTGTGCTCATGCAGTATTTCCTCCATGCGACTAAGAGTGATGGCAGCAAAATGCCCTGGGTATTTCAGCTGAAGGAGGCGTTGGAGATAGACAGCTGCTTGACACCCTCCCAGATTGATACGTTTGCAGTTTTTAGCATCCAGTCTGAAAATGCAAAGATACAAGGGACTGTGCAGAGATCCACAAGTTTAGCATAAAACAGACCTCCTACTTCCCCCAGCGTTATTTACTTTCTGATACTGTCAAGTACACATGAATATACCCAAATATTTCAAGATTCAGTTACCAGAGAACTTCATACACCTGCTTTTCTCAGAGAACAAGCATAATCATGTCTTTGTTTACTGGAAATACTTACTGAAAGGTTCTGCTCTGCTTTAAATAATAATAAAAAAGCATTAAATAATTTTGGCAACAGCAAGGAAACATTCATTTTTAAGAAGGCAAGTGATGGCTAGTGGAGCTGAAAGTATTTCCTTTAACCTCTGGAATATTTCATGACCATGACATACCTTCAGTGTGCTTTTGAGCCCAGAACCCCCTACTGTGTGCTGGGCTGCACACCCAAAATGTGTGCAGCAGGTCGGGGAGGGGATTCTCCTCCTCTGCTGTGCTCTGGGGAGACCCCCCTGCATTCCTGATCCAGCTCTGGGGCAGCAGCACAAGAGGGACCTGGAGCTCTTGCAGCAAAGCCAGAGGGGGCCACGGAGATGCTGAAGGCTGGAGCAGCTCTGCTCTGGAGCCAGGCTGAGAGAGCTGGGCTGGGTCAGCCTGGGGAAGAGAAGGCTCCTGAAGGGGAGACCTTAGAGCAGCTCCAGTGCCTAAAGAGGCTGCAGGAAAGCTGGAGAGGGGCTTGGGACAAGGGCCTGTAGGGACAGGCCAAGGGGAATGGCTTGAACCTGCCCGAGGGGAGACTGAGCTGAGCTCTTAGGCAGAAGCTCTTCCCTGTGAGGGTGCTGAGGCGCTGGCACAGGGTGCCCAGAGAAGCTGTGGCTGCCCCATCCCTGGCAGTGTTCAAGGCCAGGTTGGACACAGGGGCCTGGAGCAAGCTGCTCCAGTGGAAGGGGTCCCTGCCCGTGACAGGTTGGAGCTGGATGAGCTTTAAGGTCCCTTCAATCCAAACCATTCTATGATACATTTTTTTAATGCCTGATCTTATTTGGAGTTGATACCCCATTCTACTTTTGCAAGTAAAGATCTACATATGAATAATAACCAAACATACAACATATACAGGGCCAGCACTGCTTCTTCAATTCAAAATTCAACAGAACTTGGCAAAATCCACAGACCTAGTTTTAACTCATCAGTATAAAGACCTGATAAGAACGTACACTGCAGGAGCTGGAATACTGAATGTTAGAGGAAAGGGTATCTGCATCACTTGAATAGTCGATGGCTGACAAAGAAGGGCTGCACTGTACTCAAGACACCAAGAACTCACTCACCTGCCTTCCAACACTGGCAAAATGTGGGTACACTGGTAACCTGAAGATATCACCAAACCACTGCAGGGCCAGTTCTGACTTCTGTTGTGGTAAAAACTGTACAAGCTATCTATGCCATAGGACACTTTTGGCACTTGGTAACATTCGAAGAGCAGCTCTGACATCATTTGTCTCGAATAGAGAGGATTGCATACTGCTTCTGTCAGAACAATTGGATGATCAACGCAACCCTGTAAGGGACAAGAGAAAAATAATAATGGTATGAGGGAAAAATCATAGAATCATTAGGATTGGAACAGACCCCAATACCATCTAGTTCCAGCCCCCTGCCATGGGCAGGGACACCTCACCCTAAGAACCCAAGGCTCTGTCCAACCTGGTCTTGAAAACTGCCAGGGATAGCGCATTTACCACTTCTCTGGACAGCCTATGCGAGACCTCACAGTAAAGAGCATCTTCTTTACACCTAATCTGAGCTTCCACTGTTTCAGTTTGAACCCATCACCCATTGTCCTCTTGATACAGCCCCTGATGAAAAGATCCTCTCTGCCATCCTTGTAGCCCCCTTCAGACGCTGGAAGCTGTTCTGAGGTCTCCCCGCAGCCTTCTCTTCTCCAGGCTGAACAGCCCCAATGTTCTCAGCATGTTTCCATATGGGAGGTGCTCCAGCACCTGAGCATCCTCATGGCCTCCTCTGGACTTGCTCCAACAGCTCCAGGTCCTTTTTATGCTGGGGACACCAGAACTGCACAGTGCTGCAAGTGGGGTCTCATGACAGCAGAGTAGAGAGGCAGGATCACCTCCTTTGATATCCAGGGATACTTATTCTTGCTTCTCCTTTAAGCACCAGCAAGGATTCCTCCAAACCGCAATAAGAAAGGGTTTTCTGTGCAGGCTATAAATCATGCAAGTTAAATTATATCTAGTGTTAAAGGGGGCAAAAAAGAGCCCTTGTCTATATCAAGGCTTCCAATGTTCATTCAACCAAAGAATAAGCTACTAAAGGTCGAGGAGAATGGATTTTTAAAGCATATGCAAGTTATTAAAAATTTAAATCTATGCACTGAGGAGGTGAAGCACACGTGAAAACCGGAGGAAAGCAGCTGAGCACCAGCTAAAGCTCAAAAAGGCAAAAGTCTTCACGATCTGAGGAGGAACTCTCAGTCCTCCTGGGGATATAAAACAGGTAGTCAAACCTAACAATCTTTAATGTCCCTCTCAAAAACCAACCGTGGACATTGGCTCTTGGCCGCAGCCTCACGAGATGCTGCAGTCCAAACCTCTCGCCCCGTAGCTGTATCGTCCCACTCTCCTTTTACTACAAAGCTATGAAGAAGCTCCGAGAACGGCGGAGCTCAAACGGCACCCCCGGGGCGCGCCGGGCCAGGGTCACCACAGCAGGAGGCTGCCCAGGGCCGCGTGTCTGCCAGCAGGGAACAACGCAGGGCCCCGGGAGACCCCGGGACCCGCACCCCCGCCGCTCCCCCCCCGCCCCGGCAGGGTTCCACACGCGGCTCCAGGGCCTGCCCCGCACGGCCCTACCTGCGAGCTGACGCCGAGGCGCTGGAAGACGTGGTCGAGGAGCAGCTCCTGCAGCTCCAGCTGCACGGGCACGTTGCGGTCGAAGGGCGAGCGGAGCAGCCAGCGCAGGGGCTCGGGGCTCCCCAGGTCGTTTCCCACCTGCGTCTCGGCGCCGGTCCCGCCGCGGGCCCCGCGGTTGCGCGCCGCCAGCGAGCGGAACCGCAGCAGCGGCTCGGCGGGGACGGCGGGGTCGGCGCAGGCCCAGCCCGCCCGCGTCTGGAAGGAGCCGTTGTCGATCACCAGCGGCACCGGCTGCGGCGTCCGCACAGCCGCGCCCGGCTCCAGCACCGGGTCGGGGGCCCAGCGCACGTCGCGGAACGCGAACACTCGCGAGGCCGCCGCCATGGTGCAACTGCAGCTCCGTCCGGCCGAGAGCGCGGGCGCCGACACTCGTTCCGGGCGGGGCGAGGGGCCTCAGGGCGCGGGCGGGCTGTGCCCCCGCTGCCGGCCCCGCCGGCTCGCACCCGAAGCCTGACAGGAAAGCGGGCGGCCTCAGGAAAGCGGGCAGCTGCAGCCGGGATGGCACCCGCGCCGCGGCAAGAAGAGCGCCCCCTGCGGTCGGGGCGGGGGACGAGAGGCCTTCCCGGAGCCTCCGCGGGGCCCTGCCCTTGCCCTTGCCCTTGCCCTTGCCCCTGCCCCTGCCCCTGCCCTGGGACGCGGGCCACGGCGGGGTCAGGGGGGGCCGAGCCAGCCCCGAACTGAGGTCACCGCTGCCGGGCTGGGATCCGGTACTGCTGTCACTGCCCCCGATGGTCAGAAGCGCCACCGACCCGCAGCCCCCGCTGCTGGAAGTGCGGCTGCAGGTACTCAGCCTTGTCGAAGCTCAGGTCGTTAATGGCTTTTCTTGCTTACCCAATGCACAGAGTAAGGGTAATAGCTGCTTTTATCACACAGTGATACTAAAGTGTTAATAACGTGAGTTAACCAAAATTTGCAAAGTTCATTTAGATCTTGGGGATTAAAAGTCTAATTTCAAGGGACCGCCACTGCATAAAAACACAGAGGCACACAAGCAAGGAATTAACTGCATGCAACTCATAATGTGCACTTACATAACTGCTGTCTTCTGACAGGTACCAAGAGCTACAGAAAGGATTAATTTAGCTAAACAGCCGCCTGTGAGGTGATAGATAATGGCTTTATTTTGTTAAAGGAGAAACAGTCTGATGAATGTCAAGTTACTGAAGTCATACTGTCAGTTCCTACTTTGATCGCCACTGAACTGCTTAATTATTCAATGATACATTTAGACACATATCCTGTGAAACATGCTAACTTGCCTTTCTTCAGGGAAGGCAGCTAGAAAGGCAATTAAAATACAAAGGTGTCCCTGCCCGTGGCCCGGGTTGGAACTGGATGAGCTTCGAGTTCCTTCCAGGCCAAATAATTCCATGATTCTGTGATACCCATCACTGCAGGGTTGATCCTGTTTTACCAACTTTTCAAAAGCAAGCTTGGCTACCCAGTTGCAAAGTAGCTGAAGCACTTGGTTATCTCCCCTATATAAACAGTCGTTTAGCTATTGTTTTAACATAAGCCTTGAAAACTTCCTAGCTTGTGTTTATCCTTTAAATAGCAGCCAAAGAAGCACAATAAAATCAGATGTTCTCTCACTTGCTGTCCTTTTTGCTAACCATGCAGAGTATATCAGCTGTCTGCTTGTGATTAACACAGTGATGCAATGAGAGTTATTAAAAGATAAAGCGGAGCAGGCAAGCTAGTCTAAACTTAGTGTAACCTGAAGCAAGCAATGAAGTATCCTGTGGTTCCTTTGGTGAATGAGCTGACCTTTCCTCTGCTTTTCTTCTGGTTTTGTTTGCCATTTGTAATGCTGTTGATCCTAACGATTATCTGGCTACAGCTTCTCCTTAATGAAGGTAAGTTCTGCAGCTGATCAGATAAAATGCTCCTGCATGCTTAATGTTCAAAGCACTCTGCTAGCTATTTTTAGACTAATGCCACTTGTCTCAGAAGGAAAGTAAAGGGCTTTTTTAGTACTGTTGGTACCAAACTCAAATTATTAAGATTTTTCTGTTAAAAATGCTGCCACTGTTCTTCCTTACCCTCTCCCTTTTTCTCACAGGTAATTTAAGAAAGCTAACCTCACCCTCTAACTTTGTGCACTTTCATTACAGTTTTCTTACACTTCTCCTCTTTTGGGGGTGGGGGGTGGTACCAGGAGCTGTTAAGGGATTCTTTTATCAGTACTGGTAGAAAATCTGTGGAGGGAGCAGGACATGCATTTTCATTTATTTGTGTATTTTGCTCCTCTTTCCAGTCCATCACTGATTCTTATTTCTAATATGTCAGTAACCAATAACAGGCTTTGGTTTAGGTTAATAATAGGCTTGTTGATGTACTCAGGAGGATAAAGCCTTACTAGCTTGCTCTAATACTGAAGCATAAGCAATCCTGGCTGAGGAATCAAACCTAAGTTCAAAAACAGTGATTCTGCCTTTGCAGAACAGCTGTAGGAAGGAAAATAAGAATTAGAATTAAAATTAGAATTTTACTTCAGCAAGCTTTAATTTTATTAGGTGCCCTCTATTCTTAATAATGTGGTAGCCAGTCCTGTGATAGGTCACATAGGAATAGCCCCAATGAGGCACAGCAGAACAGGAGGTACTCACCTCAGTAATGACTTGTACTCCTTCCTCCTTACCAATCCTGCATGTGTGTTCACCATGGATTTTTTACTTTCAGCTCCCATTTTGCAGGTTTAGCAGACTGCTGATGCTACTAACTGCCTCTCCTTCCTTCAGTAGTGAAGTATCTTCCCTCTACACACTCACATATGCCCTTGTGGGTAACCGAGCACAATAATTAGAAAGTGCAGGTTACAAAAGGCTGGGCAGTTGTACAAGCTACCCTGAGCAGCACAGGCATGGCTTACTGCTCACGTTTGAAAAGCAGAATAAAAGACCTATTTTGCATAGGTAAAGGGTAGCTATGCCACATACACTTCAGTGTCAGCTTTTTGCCTGGGCAGAGTAACTCTGGAATCTCTTGATGCTTTAAATAAGACTTTCAGGTTATGCTTAACTACGTTTGCCTTCACATTTTCTGGCCCTATAGTGACTGTTATTAGCACCACGCCTCCAACAATTTCTATAAATGCTCTAAATTCCATTTGAATCAATAAGACCAAGCCCATTACTAGATTTTTACATAGTAGTGTGTTTACAGGATTAGAACATTATCATGTTTCTCAATCACTCTTAAGAGAGCAAATTAAAATGGTGTCCTTTTTAATAGTTTTCTAATTAATTCAGTTATCTGATTATTTTATACTAGTTTACAGCAGGCACAAGGAAAAAGGGGTGGGTGTTTCAGCTCCTCCTTTAACATAGTTGCTGATTAAGGAAATTAGTAAAAGTCAAACACTTGTACAGGCCTCTTAATGCCTACTTGGGTTTGGAAATACTTTATTTCAGCTGAAAAAGATTCAGAAGAACCTTGCTGAGCTCCTAGATAGAACATGCAAGGCTGGCAGCTAGATTGAAGCCATGTGCAGGTATTTTACACATTCTTTTTAAACCTCTTTCTAGCACAGATGCCCAGTGCAGAAGAAGTAAACAAACAGTCTTCTGATGAGCCTGATTCTGATTCTAAATTTGAGGTTGAAACAACAGAGGAAGAAAACCAGAATGACACATCTAGTATAGAAATGGAAGAGGAGGTGCAATCATCTGCAGGAAAGTTGAGGCCTAAGCCAGCTTATCTGAGTTCAAATCCGAAAAGCCAAAAGCCAAGTCTTTTTGCTATAATCTCAGGCAGCTGGTTTTGGAGCCAGAAGATAAGATATTCCTGTATTGAGAAGAGCAATTTCTGTAACACCATGATGGTGAGTAGGGTCACCAGGCTATCTCTTTGCATGTCTGCCACTTTTGTTTCTCAGCTGATTTTTTTCCACCTCTGCCTGACTCCCTGGCTTCTTGGGTAAGAGAAAGCTGCAAGATCAGTTTCTGCTTGCTTAATGACTAACAAGGGATTTCTTTTTGTCCTCCCAATTTGGAATGACTCCTGTTGTAGACAAAGTGAAGGTAACCCAGAATTCCACAGAATAACTATTATTTGTGTATACTGTATAAATATATAAATACATATTTTGAAAGTAATTGAGAATTGTATTTGAAACAGTGACAGTTGTTACATGTTTCTCTAAAAGAAGAAGTTCAACTCAGCTGCATACAGAAACTCTCCTGGTACGTACGGCTGATATTAGCTGACATTGTGTACTCTTAAAAGCAGCTTTAGATTTCTTACAGTGGACTATGTGACTAAAAATGTGTTTCACTTACTTACTATTGAGCTGAAGCCAGGAGTCACTTTGCAGACATGACAGTCCCAATCCTCTTAGGCTTTACACAAATCCCAGAAGATCTATTTGAAGCCATGGAGGAGCTTAGTGTCTTGTGTGTCGTCTTGTTCCCTATGCCTTGACTGTATATTCCTTTGCAGAAGGGTCTCAGAAGGGAAAGCTGGCCTGTGCCTCCACTGTCACTATTCACAGTCCTGTCTCCTCATTTACATTGCTGGAATTTTTGAATTGCAACAACTGAGGTACTCGCATTTGCTTCCACCAGTTGTGCTGGAGGGGTAACCTTTGTTAGGCCAGGATAGCAAAGGACTGGTATCACCTTAAATTGCTTCAGTTGTTTGACTAACCCTGAAGTTGAGCCTTAGCATGGAATCAGTAATTTCTTAAGTCAGAAGATTTTTGATACCACTAACACCACCATGGCAGTACCAGGTCAGTGTAGTAACATTGTTTTTTAAAACTTGTTCAAAGGGTAGAGAAACAATGTTAAGAATGAGCCTGGACTTACCTAAGGTACCATTTGGTTCTTCTGGAGTTCTTTGTGCATACAAGTAATGGTTTGAACACAGCAGCTTGAAGAACTGGTATTTAAACTTGTGTCTCGTAGAACTTAATACTTATACTGAAAGTCTTGCTTGGGTGGGTGGGGGAAGGGAACAAGCATTTGTCTCAAATCATTTATATCAGACTGAAAATTGAACCTCCTAAAAATGTCACTGCCATGACAATTCTGTTCCTCTTTTTCTTCATCAGCTATTGTGTACCATGCTTTCTTCTCTCACCTGGAACTTTCTCTGCCAGTTGCTACAGATCTCTAACGTCCTGAGGATTCAAGTGCTGCCATCCTCTCTGGTTACCTACATGGCTCAGCTGTTTGTTTTGCTGAGTCAAAGACTTGTGAAACCCCTGGGCTCCCTGAGGCTGAAGAGCAGGGGGTTGTTGGCTTCAGTCTTGGGGAGGAAACTGGAGCACAGTGATGGTCAGAGAACCAACTCTGCACAGTACTGACTGACTAAATATTAAATGGGTGACAGCATCCAGCCTCTTGTGCAGTGCTTGGGTGTGTGCTCTGCTCCCCTCCCACTTCACAGAAGGACGAGTTCCTCCTTTGTAAGGACTGGTAATGCTCTCAGCACTACTAACCTTCCATTTCAAACAAGATCAAGGCAAGCATTCTCACTAGCTGTTCTTACCCAAGCTTACATGCAGTACAGCTCAGTGATTACTCATGCTGTACTTCACATTTTTCTGATCTCCAACTTGTCAGTTCTCAAACTAGGAAACAAAGTTTCTAAGAAATGAAACTAGTTTACCTCCAATTAACAAGAAATAATTAAGCCCTTCGCAGATACTGAGTGTGCATTTCTTCTGTTTCTATTCGGAATGGGTTTGGCTTTTCAGCACAGCTGGCATACTGTGGTGAGTTTAGATTACCGCTTGGAGGCACTTGACAACAACTTGATTTAAGGGACCATACTGAGGTTGGTGGGACAGGGATGAGCCGTAATTTTGTGGCCTAAGGGTTTATCCAGTCACTGGCCTATGAACAGAGCAGCTCTTTGCACACATTCAACAAACTTTTTTTAAGGAGGACCTGAATTAGGAGGTCACATCCCAGAGAGCACGTTACCACTTGTGACAGATGCCTCTGCTCACCTCGTGAAGCAGTGTCCCTCACAAGGCTGGCTGTGTGACAGTAGCCGCCTGCACTGACGATGAAGCGTGCCCTGGTTACGTTTGCTCGTCTTTCCCTCCTCCTCCCCTGAATTCCACAGGTCCCAGTACCCCTCCGGAGCTGTGCGCATTACACAGAGCTTGTCCGCGGCTTTATTTTCGCAGGCCCTTTACGCAGGAAAAGCCCCTCGCACACAAAGGGCCCCTCCCTCTTCGCAGCGGGTGTCCGGGGTGGGTGCTGCAGGGCTGGGCACAGCCACCGTTGGCGCGGGGGGGCCGCGGGCAACGGCCCCGCCTCTCCCGGAGCCCGCGCAGGGGCCGAGCTGTGCCGCGGTGCTCCCGCACGGGGAGGCGCGGCCCTGACCCGCCAGCGCCGTGCGGGCGGCCGGGTCCGGGTCCGGATCCAGGCCGTACCGTACCGAGGGCGCAAGGACCGGCCCGCGCCTGCGCTTCTGCTCCTCCGCGGCGCTGCCCGCAGGTAGGGGGGTGCTCGGCGGCGGGGACGGGCCGTGTCTCGGGCGCGGGTGCTGCTGCCGGAGGCGCTGCGAGCAGCGGGGCCGTTTGCTCCAGCGCAGCCGCCGCATCCCGGAGCTGTCCAACCGCCGCTCCGGAGCAGCGCTCGCTGGTAGCTGAGGGTTTCTCTTCCTTTCCCACCCGGTCCATGCGGACTTGCACGTGTGGCCACGAAAGACCTCACCTTGCAGCTGAACCGCTGGGGATGCCTCCTTCCTCTGCCGGTTTTGCTTGTTCAGGCTGCTCGAATGTAGAATCACAGACTAGTTTGGGTCGGTTATCCAGTTCCAGCCCCCTGCCACGGGCAGGGAAAACGTTGGTCTTTCTGTTAACCTCAGTTCAATCAGAACTCTCATTATCTTGAGGCAGTTGCCAAAATGCTGCAGTTCAAGTTAAGAATGTCTTAATGAGGTCATCACTGCAGAGGAGTAGATGAACTGAGGTCAGTCAGTAAAACACCTAAAGGGCTAGTAGAATATTGTTTCTTGTATCGCATAGTGATGTCTTAAAGCCTGGTGGTACCGAAGTATACACTTTGGGTTGTTTTCGTCTGTGCAAATACTCTTGGAATAGCTTTGGTTTGGCTGGGCTGGCCGTTGCTTGCAGTGGCACTGTAACAGCAGCGAGTCTGGTGCCAGCATGTGAAACCTGCTTGAGAAACCTACTCCACGGATTAGCAGTTCCTGCAAGGTTCTCCAGTACCACAGATATGCTGATGGCAGGAGTGGTTTAAACCTGTTTTTCCCTTCTCTGAGCTGAGTAGTAATGCATGACTAAATATTTATCTGTTAAAAATAAAACTTCTGTGTGGGGATTTGGCTAAAAGTAGCATGGAAAGGCTGTTTTGCCTCTGCTGTGGCTCCATGGCTCTTGCAAGATGTTGGTGATGAGTGAACCTAACCTGGTGAATGGGTCCTGATCTGCAGATGTAGGGACTCAGGTTGAGCCCTGTAGGCTTTCTGCTGTGGTCCACCTTTGTTAAAATACTTCCTTCCCTCGATCTGGCTGTGATGCCTGCCCTATGCTTGTCTTTGCTGAGCATTTGAAGCTCACAGTGTGAATGAAGATGACCTTTCAGCTGCCTTGTCATCTGCAAACACTGAATAGCATCAGTGAGCTTTAATTTCCCTTAGGTGTTATGTGCAAAAGCTGTTTCCTGGGCATCAGCAGGAGCGTTAGAGCTTGCAGATATTGTTTTAAAGCTCCTGCCACTGTGGTTGTTGTCATTGGTTACAAATAGATGCACATTTGTTACAAAAGTGACAAATACTTTTAAAAAAGTTTTTTGTGTTTTTTGTTGTGTTTTTTGTTTGTTTGCTTGTTTTCTTTTGTTTTTTTGGGGGGGTGGGTTTTGGTTTGTTGTGTTTTTTTGTTTGGGTTTTTTTTTTTTTGAAGATTTTCCTTTTTTGTATTTAATTCACTTCTAAGTTCACTCTTGTTCACGTGGTACAAACCATCATTTCTCCCATGTCCATCAGCCTCTGTCCCAGGGCCCTTCTGTACATAGTTTTCTTAGCTGAAAAAACTTGATACCAAAACCTGGTTGGAACACTTTGGTTCACAGTACTGGTGAGAGCTGTGTTTTGATAGTCTCTTTTGGCTGAGATTAAGCCTCCTGGGAGAGGGCAGCCTGCATTTCTATGCACCTACCTGTACCATGGACGTTTTGTGATGTTTTGCACTACCAGTCTTTTTCTTCAACTTACTTGTGAAGCATTTATGTTGCAGGCAAGTTACAGGACTGGATTTTGCTGAATATTAAGACTATTTGGAAGTATTGTGCACTGAAAAATGTAGGTACCGGTTTTCTTCTCTGAGCTCTGAACTCTGGGACAAGTTGGTAAAAGACCCAAACTTTAGTATAAACTCCAGTGACCTAATATATTCTGATGTATTTAAGTGACAAACACGTCTGAAAGTAGTATGTCAGAGCATAAGGATAAGGTCTCGCAGCACACTGGAATCCCTTAACGTGTCAGGAGGGCCTCTCTCAGTAACATCTGGGTGAGCTGTGGCTGTTTACATCTTTCTCCTGGAGGAGTCATGGGATGATTTAACTTGGCTGACATCTGGTTTTAGTAAAGAGGAATTTGGGGTTCTTGGATCCAGCTGCATGTAGAAAAATAATGCTGAAGATTTGGCTCCTGGTCCTTTGTGCCCCAAGAGGGTGCAGCAGCAGCACCACAGCTCTTGTCTAACCAGTACATGGGTTTTGAGATGGTGTTATTGATGCTGAAAAGAAAAACCCGTGGGTGTGGTTTTCCAGTTCATAGCATCTGTAATTAGTTGGATGGAGAATTGTGTCACTTGTCAAAGCTTTATAAATTGAAATGGGTGAGGGTCCAGTTCCCCTTAAGGAAAAATACCACTCCCTGTGAGTGCAGGGGAGTGTTGAAATGGGGGCCCACAGATGCAGTGTCACCTCAGCTGTTACAAAACCCAACTGGTCAAACCTCTCAGCGTCCTGGCCTGGGTTCCGTTTTGGCCCTGCTTGTAAGGAGGTTGGATGAGATGATGACCTAAGGAGCCCTTCACATGTTCTTGTGGTAGCACATGTAAACTGGTGAGGGAAACAGTGGCCTTCTCTGCATGGGAGTAAAGGACCTCCCGACCCTTTAGTACCTGGTTAAAAACCGCTGTGTGACTTGCACTGGGGTCTTCTGCTTTGGCTGAGTGAGGAGAGTACTAAACTTGATCCTTTAAAAGTGAGAGGCTACCAAGTATGACTAAGAATATGGTATATCCTAGTGTTGTATGTCTCAGTTCAGCAAAATGTTTACTTAATTTGGGATGTTATGGCCCATATGCTTCTATTCCAAGCAGTTTAAGTGCTTTTGGTTGGAGACATAAAACTGTCTAAGTTGTGACATGGTGTTTGAGCCTTCCTGCTGCAGATGTAAAATCCATATGGCAGTGAGACCTAATTGAAACCTGATGGAGTTATTTTTCTCCTGCAACACATTATATGAAATATTCTTTATGCAGCTGGCTTGAAAAGACTGCCCTTACTTTGATATTTCTAATCAATTATTGCCTGCTAAGATACATGATTTTGAGTTATATAAGGCACTTCATTTTGATATTCTACGTAATCAAATATGACTCGTATGATTTATTTGTTATTTCATGCCACAGACTTTAGGTAGAAGCCACTAACGGCAGCATCATTCATTGTGTGGGTAAACCTTCTCAGGTGTGTTGTGTAGTGAAAAGCTTGTCTGAAATCAGAACTTGTTGCTTGAAAAGCTAGGTCTCTAAATAGGTTTTAGATTCAGATATTTATGAACTTTCTGGTATGTGTTGCTGTTTGGCAAGACCGTTAGGTCAGTTTGCAGGGGAGTATATTTTGTGAAGTTTGGAGAAAGAAATACAAAGCTGATGTAGTTTAAAGCATATTCCCCAAAGCAGATTACTCCAGGAGTCTGGAATGTGTTGGTGAGAGGCTTCAGTTTTAGTGAGATGTTGTTCCATGCATGCAGGAGTCTTTCCCCTCCTAAATAATTATTTCCATCTGCATAGCTTATTCCATCAGGCCCTGGGCCTCTAGTGCCTGGACTCTTGAGCTGCCTGCAAAACATGGGTCTTCTGTGAATCAGTGAGGATCTTTCTCACTAAATCCTCTGTGCTAGCAGGGCATGAAGGGAGCTTTGCTGTTGACATATAGAAAAATAATAGGGCAAACTTCAGTGAGGGGTTAAAAACTGTTAAACTAAACTATTCTGGCCAGTCTTTCATGTAGTTTTCAATTTTTAGAGGGAGAGATTTCGGGACCCTCAAAATCTTCCTGTACAATGTCTGGCAAGCTCACTATTCACTAGCTGTCTGAGAGCTGTTTAGTTTTCATATAATATGAACTTGAGTCCATCTGCGATAGTACTTGCAACATCCTTGGCTACTTGAGTGCGGTGGCCTATGGCCTGTGAGATATCCACATGAACGTATGTGCTTCCATCATACGATGGAGCCTGAGCATTGAAAATGCAACTAAGCACTGAATGCAGTAGTAGAGACCTCAGTGTTTCAGTGAGCAGGCAGACCTCTAGTGTGTGAAGGCCTGTCCATTGGTTTTGTGGTGCTAATGGACTTATCTCTTTGTCCTGTTTA